GTTTAGATACTATTCTTTGTTTTTTCTCATGTCTCCTAATCTGCCTTTTTTCGATTTTGTGTACATTTTTAAAGTTATTTTGCAGTATCACCTTTATTTTGTGAATCTTTTTTCCTCAAGAATGTTAATTTAGTGGTCTCTTCTTGGTCCACATATCTCATTGTAACTGTTTTTATCTCTGCTTCCACAATATTATGGTCCATGGATTTTGCCAATGTTACATACCGCTCTATTCTTTATTTATCCCCACGTCATACATTTATTTCTTGAATGCTTAGTCTCGCAGTATGTTAGTAACTGGATCCAGACCTTTTTACCTGTGTTACTTGGCTTTATGAAAAATCTTCCAACTCACTATGCTGTGGTTTTCTTTATTATTAACATATTTAGTCATTTTATTTAAAATATAAAATTTGTCTACTTTAGGAGCTTGAGAAGAAGAGGAAGGAGAGGGCTCAGGCTACATATGAAAGGAAGAAGCAGTTGACCAAATTGCGGATCAAAGCAGAGAAAGTGGCCGAGGAGAAACTTGGTGGTCAACTCGATATTATTGCTCCAATCAAGTACTGAAATAGGAAGTTTGTTGTTTCGAACGACAATTTTCTGCCCTATTGATTTTGTTTCTGTTAGTTGTTATATCTATATTTCTGATCTATTTATTTTTCACCTCCCAATCCTAGAGAAATGTATGCGACTTTATTCTCGAAATTAAACACTTGTCCATGTTATGTTGGTGTTTCAGCATTGTCCTTTTCTTAGTAAAACCTTGCATAGTTGTTCAAATTTAACTTTGTTAGTCTTTTATTACGCGCCTGGACAGGCGAGAACTCCAATGCTTAGCTACTAGGAAGGTGAACTCATTGACTTCGAATTTAGATTTTCTACATAATTCTTTGCTTGTGTTTGCGTATCTGTCATTCTGAAAAATAGGGTGCTCTATATTTAGTTCATCATCAATGCCATAAGCAGATAATTGTGGACTCTCTCTGACTTCTCAGTTTGCTCTTGGATATCGGGTACGGATGGATCCACAGTTGATTGTGGTGCAATAACTATAGTAAATTTGATATAAGATCAATTAAAACTGTTTATGCTTATCTATTATATATTACTATTTATTTATAATTTGAACTGTTATTTTCTATTCGAATCTTGCAAAAATTGGCGTTGTCAAATATTATGCGAGTAATATAAATAAAAATTGTGTTTTGAACTCTCAAATTTGAACATCATGGCATATAAGGCTGTTTGTGGGTCGGTTCTGAAGAGAACCAAATCGATTCAAAATTTTTGGGTATTTAATAAATGGAACAATCGGATCCAAATATAATTATGGAATCGTTCGGGTTCGGTTTGGTTCTGTTCGGTTTCGTACCATAATTAATTTTTTTAATATTTACAGTAATATTACATAAATATAATTAATGATTTTCATTCGTAATTTTTATAAATTAACGTAGTCCAATTCAAAAACATATAAACAACTATTTGTTCAATAAGATTAATTCAATGCATACAAATACAAAAAAAATAGATATTAATATTATAGCATCACTGCATAAAGTAAATTCATTTATTTCAAGCAGCCTGCATGTATAAAGAAAATGAAATATAAATTAAAAATTATAAAAATAAAATATTTTTAAGTACTAGTAATACTTATCAATTATTTGATTTAATCATCAATTGTTTGANNNNATTTGATTTAATCATCAATTGTTTGATTTGTCAAGGTAAGAAACTCTATAAGCATAATTGAAAATGCACAATTAACAGGCACAAATAAAATAAAAATTATTCAACCAATAAGATTTAATTAAAAAATATCATATATATTTATTATGAAATCATCTGATTTATTTAATTAATTTGCTAATTTGTTTAGAACAAAATAAAATAATTTAATTAATTCAATATAAAAAAAAATTTATTTAGTTTCAATTCTTGTTTGATTATTCGATTTTTGGTCTAGACCCGAGACCCGATTTAAATCCATCTGTTCTCGATTAGGGTACTCGTTCAGATATTTAACTTATGAAGAATCGCTCAATTCGATTCGAGACTTTTGGACACCTCTAATGGCATATAGAATCATGGATTTTCTTTCATGATTTTTGCCATAGGAAAGAACTAGTGTTTTGGCATGAAAACAGCCACATGTTGCCTGTGGATAAAGAAAGGCTAGAGGATAAAAAGCCAAAAATGGGCAAGCTACTTTGTACATAATTTCATCCTAAATTCTGAAATACTTGAAATTAACGTGAGGGATCTTGCTCATCTTTTTAAAGTTTTCTTTATACCCTCTATTTGGAATACTCGACGGCGACATCTTTTCTTTTGATGTCATTCACTTGAAACTCGTGAAGAGTCATGATGTTGAGTGACATTAAATGTACTAGAGCTTAATCTAGTTTTCGTTTTCTCCTTCTTGAAGAGAGCAAAAAGAGTAATGCTTCCGTATTACTCACGAAAATTTCAGAGTAGACACAAAGGTGGGCCCTACGCTATTTTTTAAAAAATACATGTGGGGTCGGCCCTTTGTGTCCATTATGTGAAATTTCTGTGAGTAATGCTTCT